GTCATAATTTACCGAATGACGCTTTATGACAACAGTCATAAATATTCATGAAGGCTTATTCATGTTTATGACAGTGTCATGTCAGTCTTATTCAACCCCCTTCAAATAAAGTGTTACCAAAAGTTTACTAAACCATCTTCACGTGTAGTGTCGTCTATTTCTTTTTAGGTTAAAGGTGTAAAGTTCATTTTGTTCATACATGTTATCTTCTCTATGCTGCAAGTAAAAGAAAAAAGAAGCTGTTTCACTTTCACTTCTCAGATATTATCACAGAACATTACCGGCAGGCAAACACAGCTCAGATCAAACCAACATCATGAACCACTGCAAAATGTAACGTTTTGTGGAAACTTGATATTAAAAAAAAACAAAAACTGTCTTAAATTTCAAAGTTATTTAATTTGAAACACAGAATTGGTTCTGCATTATCCTTATCAAATAATCATTGTGGTTTAAACTTTTTCTTTCACTTTAGTTTCTGTAGACCAGTTTACTGATGAAGCATCTTTGACTCAACTTGTTTTAGTTTTAACTGTCTGCTCAAATGTGTGACATGTTGCAACTGATTGAACTAAAAGCAACACCACCACGTTCAGTTTAATTATCGATTTGAACAATATGACCTGTTGACACGTTTCTTTTGTACAATATATATTTAAATATTTAGAAGAAAAGTTAAATTGTTTTACATTGGGGTTTGGACCCTTTGACCCATACAGCCAGAGGCTATTATACTGATTTTCATTTTGCCAACTTTTCCATCAGATGTTTACTTATCAAATGTGCTAATATTTACCGTTTTTCAGTAGTTCAAATTGTGAAGTCCTTTTTTTTAGGGTGTAGAACGCTGCAGAAGTAACGCAGTCCTGATGGTAATTTTCTATGTTGGTCACAGTTTAGACCTAATAACTGATTTGCAGAAACTAATACTAATTTTGATAAAGATGCTGAGAGAAATTACTGATGATTAAATGACGTGGAAATCTTAACATCTTAACTTCAAAATATTGTTCCTTTAGTCAATCTTCCAGTGAGTGCAGAAATCTTTTAGCTGATGTTTGCTGTAACTCCACACCAGTAGTTAGTGCGAAATCACACTATGTACTTAAGGATAATATGTAGGCCCTACATTTAGAAAGATTCATGGAATGTTTATTAACGGTTATGTTGCTTTTCATTAACGACATTTTGAAAATGTGGTATAACGTGTTCAGCTTTAACGTACGGTGTAGTCAAACCCAACACATGAACCACATCATAAGAATGAAAGGATGGCTCCAGGTTGTGAGTCAGATGCAACTTTTCTGGGTCAAAATCGCCGATTCATTGCAGAATGCACCTCAGTAAAATTACTAGTGACACCCAAATGGTCACTGATTGGTTTGGTTTTCTATCATAAACCAAATCAATCTTGCTTTTCTATGGTATTTTTGTACAGTATTCTCTCACCTATAATGGCACGCGTGAATTTAATGTGCAGGGATTTATTTTCATTTTTAATGTTTCCTTTGAAAACGCAGACTTTTCCTTTGAATGTCGCAAAACGTGTTAGATTAGACTCACTTGAGCAACATGGCAAACACTATTTCCTTCAAAGTTCATGTTTGCAAAGCATTCAAGTGCTGACCTAGCTCTGAACTGCTCAGAAGCCGCCATCTGTAGAGAGCTCAGCGCTCTCAGTGCACATGCACTTTAATTGGTGGATCCTGAGGCTATACTGGAGTTTTTCCTTCTCCTGGTTATATTTGCCCTAGTTATTTACCAGTGTCTCCTGATGTAAACTGTGAGTCTTTTTCCATCTATCTATGATTCATATGTCTTTTCATAGCTCTACGGGGTGCAGCTAATTTATTCAATGACATCAGTTCAGAAGCTTAACCAACTGGGCATGCCATATCCAGAAAACAAGCTCAGTCCAAGAAGTAGAGTAAAGCTATTGGAGAGACTTACATAAATACATTTCAGGAATTTCTGACCCACAAAAAAAGCAGCATTGATACAAACTGTCAAGATAAACATATGTAGGGAAAACATTTGCACAATATCGCTATGTCAGTGATGGTTTTTTGTACAAGATGAAATAAGCGTATGCGTACCCTGGGAACAAAATGACCCCCTCTCTCCATTAGAATGGGCCTCATACGCTCTGCCCAGTGTAATTCTATAAGGAAATCATGAATAGGAGGGGAAAGGGAGGCCCTATTGAGACAGACTTTTCTTTACAACGTAACTCAACTCCATGTCTTCCCATATAACACCTCGACAAGGAGAATCCCTCCAAATAATAGGCTGAGCAGGGACACCATTGCTGCAGGCTGCATCCCGGTAATTGCTGACCACTTCCCAGTCGCAGGCAGTTGAGATGACATGAGAATGGGCGAATCTCCAAATACACACACACTCACTCACACACACACACACACACACATACACACACCTAACTTATAGCGTAACCGCCCCGAGACAGACGGACTGAAACACACACACACACACACGCACCCAGTTTCCATGTAATAATCAATGTGTCTGAGAAAACCAACATTTTCACCCTCTGGAAGTTGTTGCTGAATCTGTTTGATGTGGTTGAATTATTTGAAGTGAGTTAAAGAACTACAACAGTGATCCTTAGCTTTGATAAGCTGGAGTCTGTAAAGTCATCTATGGGAAACTGAATTCAAAACTCCTTTCTAAATGATGCCTAACATATTTTCAGTTACGTTAAAGCCACTAAGCTCATCAAACCTGATGGAAAATACCGAAGATAAACGCATAATGGCGTTGTTTATTCTGATGTCTCTTCCTAACCCAGACAAATGCACACAGACTGCTGGCATATGTTGAAGCACGAGGTCGACGGGGCTGTAAAACAAGCCTGTTCTCTTTGTCCACCTACGCAGCACTTTGCACGGTGTGTCTATCAGATGGCGGCTCTTTATCAAGGTGTGGCTGACACTGGCTCCACACAAAGCTCTGCTAAACAGGAACATGGCAGGTCTGCCTCTAATAACTGTGCTTCTGCATCTGTACTCAAGCGCAAGACATTTCATTACATAATGCAAAAAAAATAATAAAAAATTATAATAATAACTGAAATAAACTAAAATCCAGGCACAGCCGAAGGCACTTTAAAACCCCAACAGCGCTGTAAAACTCTAAAACATGATGGTTTTTCCTTTTAGCCGATGTGCGAAGCGGTCCGTAGAAAAAAAGGCATCACCTTAAAAGCAGAAGTAAAACAGTGACTCTTTAAAAGTGACACCTGATTTCCTATAATACACATGTATCAAAAATGACAAGATTGTGTTTCACAAAAGGTAATTTAAAATATGCGCCTCTAAGCTTTGGACTGAGGACAAAACGAGGATCTTTGAGTTGTAAATGTTCAGATCTGTGTGTCAGTTTGAACTTTCTCGTTCTCTCTCTCCTGTTTGCTCCCGCTCTGCATCCACACTGCTTCCTTTTCAGCTACTCTGGAATTTCTGGTTTCACGTTGTGATATTATTTCATGTTAATCAACTGCTCCATGTTGTAAACCACCTTGTTGCTACGGTTACGCATCATAACACAAGAACAAAGCATAAAAAGCATTGGCAAAAAAAAACAAAAAACGATCCAGCTGCACAGCATCCAGACGCAGAAGGAAAGGTTGGAGAAAAAAGCTTTTTCCCCTGGCCAAAAACGCTGGCGTGAAAGTTTCAAAAATGAAAACCTGAATGAGGGCAGCAGAGCCACTGCTGCCACTCAGAGTGGAATTGTACTTCCTGTGTGAATAATTATTGGCTTTTTGTAGACATCTGCTAAAATGCTAATGTAATGATGGCATTAGGGGTTCACAAAATAGTATTTAAATCAATGTTTTTTTAGACTCAAGTTCATTAACAGAACTTAAAAACCACAGCACATCCCTTTAAGATTGGCCTCACATCATACTCACTTTTTTTCTAAAATGAAGCTTTGGGAAAATAATTTATTCCTTACAGTAATAAAATGTAGCATATTTGTGGTTGTTGTCCTAAATTTGCTAATTCTTAAAAAAAAAGTAAGTAAAAAAAAACCTAACAATTTTACTTGTTTTGCCCTGAGTACATTTAAAATCCACAAAATGTTTTCAACAATGTGGTCCTAAAATTGTTGGATGTATGACTTTTTCATGCTAGATGCATAATTATATGGTTTTGGGTCATAGAGGCGCCCGCCTCCTGTCAATTATTGTGCTTTTGTGGGGAAGGGAAGGGATTATTCATAATTTCCAACGGTAGTTGGGCCTGGGTGTTTCCTCCTGAGTCAAATCACAGAGACAGAAGGGAATTAGTGGATTTGCCTTGCAAGCAGACAAATGCTATGTTGCTCAACTGCATACTTTGGCTCTGAATTTGTCAGTAGAGGTTGATTAACGATATCGTCAACTGAGTCATCGGCACAAACTAATGTTGATCTTAATGACTGCAACTGATTCTGATGTTTTAGGAGTTATATATATATATATATATATATATATATATATATATATATATATATGTATATATATATATATATATATATATATATATATATATACACACACACACACACACACACACACACACACACGTTTCAATTTTATGAAATAATACACACTGTGTGTTAAAGAGCAGGTTAAAATGCTGTTTAACCCTCTGGACCAGCATATAATACCATTCTGACCGACACCCTCCTCTAAGTTTACCATACGGTTCACAGAGCAAAGGCTTACTGGAGATAAATATTGAATGAAGCTAAACTTAGACGGGGGTATGCAAGGAATACATTAAACATGAGTTGTGAGTTTGTCTTCAGGTGTTGTTGTTGTTGTAATATTCATTCTACAAATGGCAACTGTTGCTAAGAGACCCATAAAGCCAGTAAATGCTGCTGTTGTTGACATTAGCCCTCCAGGTTAGCTTACTTTGGAGGGTAAAACTGCAGACCTTAAATGTGATTTCCTGCAAAGTTTGTTGTTTCTCCTCCTTTGTGTTTTGCAGGTGGTCAATAAGAGTGGAGGTGGATGAAGAAGAATCGGCTTAGAGAGGTTTCCATAAACTCTGCCTTCAAGACGTGTTAGACATGGAGTCATAGGTATGTAAACTCAGTGCTGCTGGTCGGCGTTTTCTCTATAATACTTTTAATTTAAATTTGTGTAATATCTGCTATTTTATTGTATGTTTAAAGTTGCTTTAAATTTGAGTTAATTAAATATAAAAGTCCACTATATAGTAATTCACTGGATCATGACTTGTCAGTCTAATTTTATGCTTTCATTTTTTTTAAATATGACACTTCTCTGTCTGACAACTCTGAGCTCCTATAGATTTATTATCTTATAAGCAAGATTCATGGTTTTTATTGGGATTCTACATAATAAACAACACAAAACAATTCATAATTTTGAACCACAAAAATAACTACAATTATTATAAATATAAAAGCTTGATAGGGGTTAATGAACATGAAGTCTGGCATAAGAGGACAAAATAGGGCTTGGTTTAATTTTGAACATTTCAAGGCTCTCTAAAGACATAAAAAACATGAGACAATGTCCACTTTAAGATCTGTTTATATCAGTTTAATTAATTCAAAAACACACATTCTAATTCAATAATATGCATTCATCTTAGTTATTATGCATTCAAATCCAATTAATTGGCAAACGAAAAGTTTTCCACCTAAGAAGATGAGCTAATTGCGTAGAGGTGTTAACTGTGCAGCAGTCACTCATACTGAGCATGCATGTGGCGACAGTGAAAAGGAATGACTATAGTAGTAGGAAATGTCCAGTAAAAACTGGCACTTTGAGAGCCCCAGGAGGTATTCTACCAATTGAAGGTTTGGGAAGTCAGAGCAGACACAAAAAACACAGAAGAACTGATCCAGGAGTATTTTACTTTCTATGTGGAAAAAAAAAACAGCAGAAAAAGGGAGCAGTATGTCCTTCTGTGAATATATTTAACAAGAAAGCAAGACGGATAAACTCTGAGATTAAAAAGTCCAGGTCAGCCTAAAAACAGAAAAACATGACAAAGTGAATCATCTCTAGAAAGAAAACCTGAAGGTATTGACAGGAAAAGCTCAGGTGGAGGCTCCTTCCAAGAAGGTGACACAGAGACGCCAGCCAATGTGTGACTTCTGAGAACAGGAATAGAGGAAAATATGAAAAATAGTCGTCATTTAATAGTTTAAATGGAAAAAACACACCCATTTGATTCAGCTATTCCTGAGAACATGGGCAAAAATGTCAGTCTAAAAACAAAACCAAGAAACCTCAATCAATTTACCTCAAATGCTCAACTATGCATTTCTTTGTGTTGTTTTTATTTGCTTGAAAACCCAATAAAATACATTGAACTTTTTGATTTTAACATTACAGAAGATCTACTAAGTCCTTATGCAAGAGGCCATAAAATCTGAGCGCTGCCAGGAAATGTACAGCAAAGACAGACTGGAAAAGGAAAACAAACAGATTCTTTATGGAGGGAAGGAGGAGCCAACAACAGAACAGTCTGAGTCACCTGACTGCTGGGACTCACAGGAAATGACATCAGAAGGGTTGGAGTGTGCCCACATGGAGGGGGCATTGACTCGGGAGGAGGGAAGGAGACGTTCATGTTTCTCTGTCAAGCAGAAGAGACAATGTGGACAGACAGGTGTGTGTGTGTGTGTGTGTGAGAGAGAGAGAGAGAGAGAGCAGAGCAAGCCGTTATACAAGTAGTTTGATATTCTGTCAACACACTGAGTATTTATCCGGATGTCCTACTGGTTTAATCACCTTTATTAAGGAATTACTGACTTAAAACAAGCTCCTGTGTCTTTCTGAAAATTTACTTGTGAGTTAGTTTGGCCTCATTTCAAGTGTAAGATGTCTACACTAGAAACTGGAGCAAATATACTTGGTAAGACTTTGTGTTCTTGCAGAGGATCAGCTCTGAGCAGCTTAACAGTTGCAGTCTTCCTGGGACTCTTTCATAAAAAACTGATTTGATGAGCTCCTGCTTGTCATTTTAACAAATCTTCCAGACCTTTGAATTTCTGCAGCTCCTCCACAGTCAACATGTGGGGAGAAAGAATGCAGCTGCTCAACACTTTTTTTTCAGATTTGAATTGAAAAAATAAATAAATAAATAATAATAATAATAATAATTAAGGTTGTTGTGATGTGAGGAAATGTGGAAAAACTTGCACATTCATACTGTTACAAGGCATGATGTGTATTTGTTGAAATATGCAATGTGAAGGTTATCTGTATGTTTTAAAACATCAGGTGGATCCAAAGTGGAGGGCAGCTTCCACAGGTCCAAATCAAGGGGCCCGGGGCCCTGCTCTAACAAAGGACAGGACAAAGACATCAAGACAGAGGAGCCTCGTGGACTTGGGCCGTTCTACTTCTTTGGAGGAACCAATGGGGCTGAAGTGTGAGCAAGAGATGTGAAACACAGAAATATTATCTGATTCAACATGAAAGCCCCTTAGAAAGTCACAAAATCATTTGTTTTATTGCAAAGGGGGAAAAGTTTTCACTCATTCTCCGCTCTTACCTCTGGTTTTTTTGTTTGCTTCTGTGTTTGTGGCTGATTTCTCGCAGTGTGTGCGGCTACTGCGAGAGGAGAGGATGGAAGAGAATTTATAACAAGCAGAGGGAAGATTTCAGGCTCAAGTGGTGCGAGACCAAATCTCAAATTAACTACAGCCGCTTCAAGCAAGGTACCGCAGAGCAAGACAATACAAGATAAACTCTCAATTTAAACTGTACTAAAAAACAAAAACACACACACGTTACTAAAATGATAAATTCACACATTTTGTTTCTAGGTAGACACTTGGTGTTCCAGATTCCCAACAACATGGTTCTCACCACTAAAATCGGCCTCCTGAACAGCCTGCGGGAATTTGAGAGAATAACCAGCAAAATCAGATACAAAAATGGACACAGGTAAACCAACCAGCCAGTTTCTCCCTTTCTTTGGGGGAGCAGGCTTTTCAAAGGGTTTGGACTGTTTGCTGTGTGAAAGCCAAACGCTACCAGCTGAAAATGTAATAAATGTATCAAATTTTGGTCCCCAATCAAACTGAGTCTACCAGACTATTAGGTGTGAAAACGCCCTAAGCTAAGAGCCTGAACCTTTCAGGTAACAGCTGCATTTATACTGAGATTAAAATACTCACAAGTGGACTTTTTTTTTTCTTTTCTTTTTACTAGCTAAGTGACTACTGTGGGAAATGGACTGGCTGAGATTTTATTTACGGTTATCAGATTAAAGTAAAGGGATCTGACCGAGTACATGACACACTTTTTCAGATTTTTATTTGTTAAAAAAAAAAAAAAATTGTCCCTTCCAGGAGGCTGAAAATGGAGGAGTTCATTCCCACAACGTTCCGCATGGATGTGAAGGAAGAGAGGGAGGATTTCTTTTCCCGCATCGCCCCACAGGAGGGTGAAACAGGTAAAACACATCCTGCGTGCATCAACCTAACGTCCCGCTGCAATGACAACTATTTGCTGGTTAAACTGGGTATACCCCACGTTTGCTGGCTTCATTTCAAAGATTAATCATACGTGACTGCTTGTGAGCATGACAGTGAAAGGAAGTTTGTTCTTGATGGTGTTAGGACAACAGTTGCCTGGGAGAGTATTTGATCAAGGGGTTGAAAACGTTGGAAAATAATGCACTTCACCTCCCATGAGGCCCTGATAAAATCACTAGGGTAGCATGCTGCTGCCATGGCGATGAGTCAGCAGAGGGCAGGGCTGAGACACAAACAAGAAGATCCTGAACGCAGCACTGCTGCCGCGCTGAACAAAGCTATGAGAAGCAGGTGGAGTTCTTTCCTAACTTACAATAATAATAAATTAAAAAAAAATACCACACAGTTGATGTCGTGCTGGAACCTGGAGATAAAAATGACTGGATCTAGATTGATTGGTTCATCACAAACACATTGTGCTAAGTGGAGTACAGGTTAGTCAAACACAGCTATCACTGAGCAAACAGGAGAAGGACTCAAACAGCTGGTTTAGATCTCTGGCTGACGGATGGGATAGACAAGAGAAGAAGAATAAAAGATGAAAATAACAAAGTCAAACTATAAATGTTAAAGGTGTGAAACAGTTTACGCTGAAGTCTCTGCACAAGTCTCTTATTAAATGTTCTGCACTGTGAAATAATCAACAAGGGTTTGCAGGTGGGTGTGAGCTACAATTTTCCAAAGTGTGTGTGTGCTTAGCATTAGTACATTTCCACAGTAAAGTATTGTGCAGATATCCTAAAACCCATTTCTTCAGCCTGCCTTTCCCTCTCATGTTCTGTGCTGTGTATGCTTAAGAAAACCAGGAATATGAGTAAGCAAGAGTAAGTGGACACATAGAAGATAGACGAAATGTTGCGATGAACAGAATAACTGTACCTGAATGTTGTTTAATAAACTAAAACAAAAAAAAAATGAAATACCTGACACGAGACCTGACAAATGCCATCCTTCTTCGGTTAATTATTTACGCTATGCCAAGTTTTCAGCAAATAGCAGTGAGGTGACGTTTTCTGTCTATTAAACTGTAACCTCTTGTATTTGTCATAAACCCAGCTGGAAGAATGGGAAGAAATTGGCTGGAAACAAAGACCCTGAAAATCCCCTCTAAAAGTGGTTCATTACAAAGTTATAAGTAATGAAGAAGTAAATTCAGAAACCATTCTCAATGCTTGCAACGTAATTTCAAATCTTTTCTCTCAAAGTTATTGTATCGCATACTGACAAAAATGATAACACTTGCTTAATTTTTTGTTTTTTACTTGTTGATACAATTTGGTGTATTTTCAAACTAATCTGAGTAATGAACTAAACTTGTTGCCTTGTTTGATACGAAGCATTAATGTGGATTTCAATAACTTTTTCTGTGACGTGCCTTCAGATGACGTGTTGTGAATTGAAACTTACTTACATAATAAGTATTTAAGTAAGTATACTCTAGTTTTTGACTGAAAGTGAAAAGCAAGAGTAGAAAACATCAAACGCACAAAACAGACGTTGCGACAAACTGAATGATGTTAAATTCAATTTATCAAAAATGACATGGAAAGACAGATTCTTGTCCTTGGTTTCACAGCTGACTGTGCATGTGGTTTAAACCTCCATCGCAAACAATGCAGTCAAAGAAATTGTCTGTCGATCTTTAGATTGTATTTGTGACGAGATTCAAATCTAGAAATTTGCTAACTCACAAACAGATTTAGTAATTTTCCCCTTAGAGTAAAAGTCTGCAATAGGCGTCACAAAGCAGCAGTAAAATGTAAGAAGCATTAACAATTACAACTTAACTCAAAATCAAATGTTCCACTCCTGGTTTACCTGATTACCATTCTCATCAGATTTGTGTTTTGTGTGTTTATTTTGGAAAGCGACCACAAAAGTATTATTTAAAAGAATAATAATTTGACATGTTTTGTACCTGAAAGGGCTTGACTGTGACTAATCCTTCATGTTTGACTGCAAAACTAAAGAGGCTTCATTCGGTGCCAACCTCATATACTTACAGGAGCAACTGAAACAGCTCCAGGACAAAATATGATAAACAATTACCCAGACGTGCCTGCTCCTGTACAACAGAAGAACAAACTGTTTTAATAGCAGGTTGATGGGTAATTGATGTGGCCGTGTTTGTGGTGGCAGACTTGAAGAAGACAGAGAGCAGCATGTGGATCTGTAAGCCCACAGGCCTGAACCGGGGCAAGGGAATCTTCCTCCTGAAGAACCAGGAGGATGTGACCGAATTCAGACTGAAGCTACAGAAGATGGAGGAGCTCCAGGCTGACCGCAGGACGCCTCACCGCCGGATTCAGCCCCACATCGTCCAGCGGTAGGTGAACACCTGGTTGTCAAAGTGTAAAACAAATTAGCCTTACAAGGGGAAGGACTGACTGCAATCCCTTCCTCTACTTCTAGCCATGGTCACGCAACTAAAAACTACATTTAAATACATTTCAATATATTTAACACACTTTTTTTTAAAGGCCACATTGCTAAAAAAAGAAATGTAACGTCTTACAATATTTTTTCTCTCAGTTACATCCAGAAACCCCTTCTACTAAATGACAGAAAGTTTGATGTGCGCTCTTACCTTCTCATTGCCTCCACTGCGCCCTACATGGTCTTCTTTCGTCATGGGTATGTCCGACTGACGTGTGACGTCTACGATCCCACATCCAAAAACCTCTCTGCTCACCTCACCAACCAGGTAAAACAAACAAACACACACACACACGCACGCACGCACGCACGCACGCACGCACACACACACACACACACCACACACACACACACACGCACACACATAGTGTGTCTTTCTAATTTCACAGGGACTTTGAATTGATTTTCATTCATTTTTCATTAATTTCTTACCCTAAACCTAATCAGTACTAGTACTTAACTAACACTAATCCTAGTCTATCATTAGACGTAATCCAACTCAATTCACACCTAAGTCTTAATCTTCTTGTTGGGTACTTCCAAAGCAAAGCATTTTAAAAAGAAATACAAGCAGAGTTGATTTGGCTTTCTATTTGAAATCTGGAAAATATGAAATAACTTTAAAGAACATTTTTGTCGAGTGGTTAACAGAGGAGAGGTATACGATACTAGCTGTACAGTGGAACACAGCTGAAATCATTCATCCAACATCCTCATTGCTTTGTTTTCCTTCCCTTCTTTACATCCTAGTTTCTGCCAGGTGTTGTAGTTGAGCGGAAAAGAAAAAAAAAAAAAAAAAAGTCATGCGTCTCCACAATACTGAGTCATTCAACGGCTTTTAAAACAAGTTGCTGCCTACACTTTTCTGTTTTGTGTGTCTCTTCTCCCCCTGCTGTTTGTCTCCAGTACATGCAGAAGAGAAACCCTTTGTACAGCCAGGTAAAGGAGGACACTGTTTGGTCTATGGAGAGCTTCAACGCCTACGTCAACGAAAGGCTTCAGGTTGCCAAGGGTCTGCCCAGGGACTGGGTGCTGGGAGCCTTTACGGTGAGGTCTGTGGTGTGCTGCAGCTCTCAGGGACCAATTACCAGCACAGAAGTGGTAGTTGGCACTGGAAGCTAATTGAGAATGTGGTTAGTTTTACATGAGCTCATTTCTGTATGAAGAGTCATCAACTTATGGCTAAACAGGAAATATTACAGGTTGCTTTTCCTCCATACTGACATACATTGTAATAAGCTGTTTTTTTTATTTTTTTATTTTTATAGCTTTAGCTTTCTTAAATAAAACTCTAAACCTTGATTGTGGCATCTTTTATGGTCTGTAAAGTTAACCACTACCTATTTGTTTTCTTCAGAAACCTGATTCATCTCAGTTGTAAATCTAGATGCGAGTTTGACGCATAACCGCACCGAGTGTCTGCATCATGAATTTGATGACATATTAAAATGTGGCCAAACTCACTAAGGCATCAGATTATTTAAAGAGAGCACTAAGGGAACTCGTTTATCTTTGAGAGATAAAATGTTTAGCTTTGTTAGAGAAGTAGAATATGAAATCTATACAACACTGACACATTGAGACAAGGATGGGAAATTCATTGAAACAAATTATTTTTTATAGCAGTGACAATATTCCACTGTAAGTTTCACTTAGAAAAAAAAACATATTAGATAAAGTCTGGTGTGAGGTCTGCTAAACTAATTCTGTCATTTGATCATATATTTTTGATCATTATCCTGCTGGAAGATCCACTGTGAAGATCCAGTGCTGGCAAATTTGTCCAATTTGTTGTTTGTGCACACGAGCTTGGCCGATGAGTAGATTCTGAAAAATACACTGACCCTGAGCCATGACAACGTATGGCTCTTATATAAATATCTATATATGGATCTATAAGTTATATATCCATATAACTTATGGATATATTTTGTTTCTGTTCGTATATCAGAAGCGCATGCAACAGATCATGACCCAGTGTTTCTTTGCCGTCAAGACCAAGTTAGACTGCCGGCCTGGATTCTTCGACTTGATTGGCTGCGACTTCATGATCGACGAGGACTTCAAGGTGGATTTTTTAAATTACTGAGGCAGAGCTGGATATAAATGTGCTCGTAAATTATGTCTTCATGTGACGCTTCCAGGTGTGGCTTCTGGAAATGAACTGTAATCCAGCTTTACACAGAAACTGCGAGGTGCTGAAGGAGGTGATACCCCGCACTGTTGGAGAAGCTCTGGGTCAGTTTAGCACATTCTGCAGACTTTGAGCACAAGTTTTTTTTATTTTTTTATAGTTCCGGGTATGAAATGTGTTACTGCATAATTTCTTAAGTAACTTAAGTGTGAAACCTCCCCAATGTTCTGTAAGTGTTGTTTCATAGTCGTCTGCTTAGCTACAGTTTTGTGCTACGTCGACTTGAGCATTTCTACTTCAGACCCAACTTCTTCCCTTGGTGAAGTGTTTGTTTTACAGCCTTTCTTTATGGCAAGCTGAAAGTTTTACATATTTGTTCAGATTAAAAGAAGTCTTCTACAAGTTGAATTTAATACTTTTTGGACTTTTTGAGTCCTGTTTAAACACATTTTTGAGAGTACCATCATTTAAATTTATGGTTGCTGTACATCGATTATTGGAAAAACAACTTGAATTTAAGTTAGTTTACTTGACAACAAACAGGTTACATAGAATGTCATCATGTGACTTGAGTTCAATCACAAATGAATTAAATAACTTTGACACCTACACTAACTACAGACTTTAGCCAACTAATCTTTTGGATTTTAATTTTGTAAACATACATCTAGTCCATCTCAGCTGAAAGTTGTTTTGACACGGGGTGTTTCAGGATCACTCCTTTCAGCAGACGGTTATTTTTGTCGGGGTTTTGGAGCTTCTGGTTTTTTCCACGATTAATAATAACTGCACTTCCTGAAGCAGAACGAGAAATCACATATGAAAACAAAGCAGAGCAAATGCAGCTGGAGAAGTGATAAAGGAACAGATCTTCAAATTCTTCTCTAAGACTTTAATTTTAGGTTCAGTTTTTTTTTTTTTTTTTTTTTTTTTTTTTTTTTT